GAGCGCCTGAGGGATTTCTGGGACAACGCCTCCAGGATGTGTTTTTTTTTTTTCGGGAATGTAAAGCCCCTCGATCCCCGCCCCTCCACCCCCGCCCCTCCCCTCACCTCCCCCCCGGCCCGCCCCGCGACCTTTGCCTTCCCCAATGTACTCCTCAACTGAGATTTGGACAAAGGTTGGGGGTGCGAGTCGCTGGCGGTGGAGGGCGAGGGGTGGGCGGGCGTGCCGCGTTGCAGTCTACAGCTGGAAACACATCTGCACAGTAACAATAAATACCACAGGGAAGACCGACGGTTACGTGGCCACCCAGTATGGGGCATCAGGGACCGTGCGTCCACGTGCGTGCCGTTGAGGATTCATGGAGATGGTGCAGAGTTCCTTACCAGAGATTCATTAGTGTCGTTAAGTGCCACAGGTTTATTGGGTGCTGGCTCCACAAAGGGCCTCACGATGAACTTGATATCCTGGCCCCTAAGCACCTTGACGAAGGAGAAAAAGCACGGGGGCAAAGACACGTTCTTGGAGATTTGGCAGGTATTGCATTGGAGTTTTCAAGCCTTGGCGGGGGGCAAGCATCCTTCTGTCAATATGGTTGGCTGCGCCTGCCCAGGCGTGCACCCTATAGGAGATCACCCCGACGGAAAGGTGGGTCGTGGCGCGTTCTCTTGTCCATGTCCAGCTCGCTCTCGTCTCTCTCCACTCGCGGCTGCCTTTTTTTCTTCGCCGCCAGGGCCCGCGCCGATCGGCGTCTGGCACGGCTAAGGGGGGGCGGAGCGGCAGCCTGGGTCCATGGGCGTCAGTCGGCAGTTCTTTCCATCATTCCTCTGCCCACCCCTCACCTCTCCCCACCCCTCATATCCTCCCGCACAGGCCCCGCCTTACCCCGACCCACTCGCGCGCCCCTTCCTCGCCCCGCCCCGCCCCCCACCCCACCCCACCCCCACCACCACAAACCCAGCACATTTTGTTCAGAGCGAGCGGGCCCTCGGGCGGAAGAGGGTGTCGGATTGGAACGGCGAGCCATTGGACCCAGATCGCCAGGTGCTCGCGGGCCAGTATCTGTGCAGTCCCAGTGAGCCGTACAGGGGGTTCATCTATGCTATCCAGGGGGACCTTGAGTTCTACGCGTCGCACCTAGGAATGCCATATCCAGCGGACGAGCACTTCTGTTGGCTGTGCACAGCCGACAGAACAGGAAATCCTTTCAACAAGTTCAAGGAGGAGTGGTTGGGGGAGGGTAAATTTATTCACCATGCACGCGGTGCCCCTCCCCCCCCCCCTCCCCCCCCTACCCCACCCACCCACCCCCCGCCCCCCGCGCCCAGGCCCGCCCGCCCCGCCCCCGCGCCGATCCCTTCTGACCCCAGGACGGGCCGCACCATTGGAAGTTCCATGAGCGTGATTACGACGCTGGCCACCCAGCATTTAAAATATGGGGCGTGAGTGTGCACACGTTGAGTTTAGACTTCATGCACACATTTGACCTCGGTGTTTCGGGTCACGCAATCGCAAACATATTTTACGAGATAATATTTGAACACGAGCGTGGGCCCAAGAATGTTCGCGTGGAGAGATTATGGAAACGTATTCAAGAGATTTATGCAGAGCAGGGAATCAAGCACCGTGTGTCCCATTTCAAGCTTAGCTATTTCGTCAAGGACCCAGACTCACCGCACGCCAACTTCCCAGTGTTAAGCCACGCCATCAAGGCGGCGGAGGCGAGGTGGCTCTGTCGAGTCGCCCTTACGCTCGTGAGGGAGTACGACGACAGGAGCCCCCCATCACGGACCAGGGTGCTGATGATGAAAAGCTTATGTAAAGTGTACGACCTCGTCGACACAGGTGGCATGTTTTTCAGTCCAGATGAGTGTGTGAATATACGCAAATGGACAGATGATTTCCTCCAGTGTTACCAATCGTTGTCTAGCACTGCGTTTGCTCAGAATAAGATGAAATATTCTATTGTCAACAAGCACCACTTCGCGTGGCACCTGGTGCGCCAGGGGCAGATAAATCCGAAGCACACGTGGTGTTATATGCCTGAAGATTATCAACGTTTCGTGACATCTGTAGGCAGTGCCTGTGCAATGGGCACCCCGATAAACAGCGTGTGCTGCAAGCTTGCAGAGCGGATGCGGTGCGGCAGACATATAGGTGACTTCGTCATACCCAAGCGGCGCCCAGGAGGATGAGGGCGAGGATGAGGAAATAAAGCGTGTAGTAACAGCACCAAAAAAACAAGGAGAAGGAGAGCGAAACTGGGGGCGCGGGAGGACGAGGGGGAGAGGGGGGGGAGCGAGGAGGAGGGCGAGGGGGGAGAGGGGGAGGAAGCGGGGGGAGGAGGGGGGAGGAGGAGGGCGAGGAGGAGGAAGCGGCGACGACGACAAAGATACAATGGAGACGCCTGGCCCAACGGGGGGCAGCGGATCTCGAGCTCACGCGTGGCACGCTGGAGTAGCGTGCGTTCTCCCAGCGAGCATTGCTTCTATCTTCGCAACCCCTGCCTCCCCCCCTTCCCCTCCTCCACCCCCCACCCCTGCGAGACAAACGACGAGGCAGGGCGAGAGTGCGAGGGCAGATTGGCGGGGGAAGCGGAGGAGGGCGTGGTGGGGAGATGGGGGCGGCTGGGGAGCGGCAAGCGGGATGCCTCCTACTCCCCCTCCTTGTCCTCCTCCGTTCTTTCCCCCGCCGTTCCTCGCCCTCCTCGTCCTCGTCCTCCTCCTCCGCCTCTTCCTGCTCTTCTTCCCCCATTCCACCCTCCCCCATCCGACACCTGGGAGCAATGGATGGAAGCAATGCTGGCTGGTCCCGCTGCACGGCGTTGCGTGGCCGACGGCGCGCCTGCAAGCCTCGCTCCCGATCCCGCTCCTGTCAATCTACCCTTGTTCCGCTCTACCCTATCTCGCCAGGACCATCCCATCCCTACCCTGGCCTGTCCGATCCTTTCCACGCATCCCATGCCCTATCCACTCCTACCCTACCCTATAGTATCCTACCCTACCCTACCATATGTTTATCCCTATCCCTATTCAAATACAACCCTATCTCCGTCCCTACCCTACCCTACCAACGGTTGTTCTACCGAATACCCTGCCCGCTCGGTTTCATCATCATGTTCGGTTGTGCTCCCATGATCACCATCGCCATAACCACCATGAACTTTAGAATCATCATCATCGTCATCGCCGCTCACACCTCTCCCACCCTCGCCGCGCAGGGCTGCGCGCGACGCAAGCGCCAAGGAGTGGCGCGGAAGAGGCGCGCAAAGTCGCCCTGGCCCTTCGCCTTCCGCCTCTCATCGCCCTTGTCTCCTTCCACACATATCATTATTTTCCCCGCCCCGCCCTCTCTCCTTTATCTCCCTCCATCCCCCCCCCCCGCTCTTCCTATCCCCCCCCCCATCCCTCTCCCTCGCGGCGCTGGGGGCGATGATGCTGAAGATGGAGATGATGGGGATGGCATTGGTAATTCAGCTAATGATGATGATGGTGATGATGCTGCTGATGATGCTGCTAATGCGGATGATGCTGGCGATGCTTCAGATGATGATGATGTTGATGATTGCGATGATGTTGATGAGGATGATGATAAGGATGATGGTGATGATGATGGCGACGAGTACGACGGCGATCATGATGATGCCTACATAGTATTGTATCATCTGCGCCGCTCGTACTCTCGTATCGACGCGCAGCTACGTGTTATTGTTTTTATCTGAATAATTACAGGGTGCGCCCGACGTGCATGGCCTGGCACAAGGTATTGTCACCAGCGTTAGCACGCATGCCGCGTGCGTTTGAACTGATCGTCCTGTGTAAGTAACGAAGCGAAGGGTGTGATGATGATGACGATGACGATGACGATGACGATGATGATGATGATGATGCTGATGATGATGATGATGATGATGATGATGATGGTGATGATATGGTGAGGAGGAGGAAAACGAGAAGGAGGGCGATAACGATGGCGATGATGTTGATGATGCTGATGGTGACCACCAACGATTGTTCTATCTACTTCCCTGCCTTACCCGCCTCATCATCATCATGTTCGGTTCTGCTCTCATGATCCCCATCACCATCACCACCATGATGTTTATCAGCATCATCTTCACCGCCGCCCACACCTCCCCCACCCTCACAGCGCTGGGCTGCGACGCAAGCGCCGAGGAGAGTGGCGCGCCAGCATCGTGCTGCAAAAATCGCTACCGTCGGTCGCGAAATTTCGCTCTCGGGCGCGACCGACCGCGACCAATCGCTACCCAAATTTCGGTCGTAACGGTCGCGACCAGTCGTTCCCGATCGCTACCCAAATTTTTGGGTCGCGCATGATCTGGGGACCTCGGGGATGTCAAGCAGCTGCTGCGCACTGCGATGGTGCCCACTGCAGAGGCCAGGGGCCCCGGGCTTATTCTCCAACCTGCTAAGTTCGCGGTGGTGGCTGGGTCAGCGCAGGCCCGCCTCGCGGCGCGCAGGGCCCAGTTGCGGATGCCCCGGGCGGTGCCTCAAATCCGACGCGCGCGCAACCTTGGCCATGAGCTGCGCGGCCCTCGAGTGCCGAGGAAGGTCGGGAAGGAGCGCCTGAAAGCCGCGCGGAGGCGCAAGCACCGATTCCTCCTGCTGCGTCGCGCGGTAGGGCGCAAGGCCTCCACCTTGTGGCGGACTGGGCCCATGCCGCCCGCAGGGCACGGCGCTGGAGTGTCGGGATTGGCGGGCGCCCCTGCGCGAGATGCGCGACTTGGCCGCGGTGCTAGACGGGCGCAGTGACAAACACCACGCGGGCGTCACGGCATACCTCCATGCTCGCCCTTCGGAGGAGTACGGCCCCATCTATCATGCCACGCTGGACCTGGTCTTGAAACGCGCCGCCTGGATGTGGGATGGGCGTGCGTCACCTAGCTGCCTTCAAAAGGCTTGGACAGCGCCCCATGAGCGGGTTGCCCCTATCAGTTGGGCCAATGCCAGAGGTCCCCTAGCCGCGACGTGGTTGACGCTCAGGCGGCTAGCCTGGGACATGAAAGCGCCGCACGCTTTGTGGAACGACCCGGGCAACCGGTATGACTTGCACCGCGCGCGCCCTGCTGACCCACGACCGTTCTCGGCGCAGGGCGTGCAGCGCTGGCAGCATGACCGCCTCACCAGCCACATGTACTCCAACGCTGGTGCGCCCATCTGGCACCGTGGGCTGAGGCATGCGGCCAAGGGTGTCCGCGCCGCAAGGCAGCTGCAATCCTCGCAGGCGCTATGGTCTGACAACATACCCGTGCCGATCCGCAGGGGCACGAAGCTCGGCAGGCCCACGCGCCCTTGTCAGGCTTGCGGAAAGGCCCTTACGCCCGATGAATGTTGGGGCCATGTATTCTTGGAATGCCCCGCGCTGCAGACCCCCCCCCCCCCCCGCAGGGGAGATGCGACCCGTGGAGCAGGAGCCGACGGACCATGTCCAATGCCTGCGACAAGAGCAGAACACGCGTGGTTTCGGCGAGCCACGCCAGCAGGTTCACGACGACCTCGAGAGTCGGCCCGGTCCGACCCTGCCGCCCCGCACTTGCGCCCAGCAACCAAGCCCCATGGTGGCCGAGGATAAATTCTTCCCAGGCGTCGGGCAAGGGGTCGATGAAGAGTGCGACTTTGCGCCGCCCAGTGGGTGCGACGGCCATCAGGAGAAGGCGCGGCTGGACGCGCAGAGTGTCCTCTGTGCGCCACCGGTTGCCTCGGAACAAAGTGATCCGTTGTCCCCTGCGGCGGCGGCTTCAGGCTTGGCGCCCGGCGCACCATGCGGGCGTGGAGGGCCCGAGGCGGCGACGCCAACGCCGAATGGCCGCGGTATCTTCCAGCTCCCCCAAGTGCTGGCTGAGGTGCGCGACCAACTGATCCAAGCGGGTCTTGGATCAGGCACGCCGAACTTCAAGCAGTCCTACCTCGTGTTTGGCATGCCCGAGCCTCCTGCCCTTCTGCCACACCTGAGGTCTGCTTTTGGGGCGACGCCTATGGCGTGTTGGGCCCTTTTCACTGCGCCGACGGGTCTGGTTACGACTCAGGTGTTCCCGAGGTGCGGAGGTGTGGACAAGCAGTTGTGCAGCTTGATCCTTGTTCTTGGCTCCCAGTTAGGGCGCGGCTCGGGCCCTCTCCATACTTGGCGCAGACTGTCGGCCGTGCTGAGAGGCGCGCGATCAGGGAGGGCTCGATCCTTTCCCTGACCACCAGTGCTTCGTCACTGACCTGCTGGCGCTCGCCTAAGAAGGAGAGCGGCGGTGCCCCAAGCTCGAGCAGGGTCGCGTCCAGCATGCTAGAGCGAGGCGGGACATCTTCGCGGCCAGCCGCAGGCGCACTCTGCGGCCCCCCCCCAAGTTCCGATGGGCTCCAGCGCGCAGGTCCTTGGATGAGCTTGTGGGCACAGAGCCGCAGGAGTTGCGTGACTGGTTCGGCAACGGCTGGGCAGACTATTTCGCGCGCTGTGGCGCGGCCTCTCATGCGCTGGCTGGGTCGGTAGCCGAGGCAGCAACAGCTGCGCTGAAACAGCACCGCAAGGTCCTGCAGTTCATTTCGTGGGCGGCACTGCAGGTGGCGTTTCGCAAAACATGGGGACGCGATGTGGAGGTCCCCAGGCCGCCCTGCGAGCAGGCCAGGCCCCTTGTGATGGCACGCAGCACGGACCATGTCCTCGCTTGCTGCGCCAGCCTCGGGCAGTGCCGATGTACCCAATGCGGAGTCACGGCCACAGCGGGCTCCTCCTTCGAGTCGCTGCAAACTGGCTCTCATCGCGTATGTCGCCCTTCGCGTTTTGCCAGTGCTCTCAACGCCGAGCACTTCCGCGCCTTCGGCGAGGGCTGGGTTCTCTGCGGCGACCAGCGGGCTGGCATGGCCCTGGGTGCGGCCTTGGCGCTCGAAGGGAGCTCGCAGCCCTCTACCCCCGCAGCCTTGTTGCCACCTGCCCTGGCCTAAGAAGTCGGGGACGCCTTCGCCGCGCTTGGGGACGACGTGTTCAGGGGCAACAGTGCTTACTGTTGCAGACGTTGCGGGTCTCACTGTGCTGCGGGAGATGTCCGCACAGTGCGGAAGCTTGGCTTGAGGTGCGTTGGGCTCTCGCCCAACGAGTCCACGCGCCGCAACCAGCAAGATGCGATCCGGCGCGTCGAGCGGGGCCTGGCGCCTCGTGCCCGGCGTGCCCTAGCAGCGCCGCTCCCGCAGGGTGGTTCCTCTTGCAGCCACGCGGCGCGATGACCGACCATGTCGTGATTCGCTGCCGTTCCGTGTTCGGCTGATGGCACGGCGTCTTCCTCGGCGGTGACACCTTCTTCGTCGACGGCAAGTTAGCCTGCGTCCGCGGCCTCGACGGCGACTTCTTCCTGCTGCCCTCCTTCTTCATTGCCCCCTGCTCTTGCGGCTAGTGCCGCGAGTAGGCGGCGCCATGGGGTAGTCCGTCGCGCGCCCGCGTGCGCGGCGGGAGACCTTCCTGAGGCGCTGCGCTCGCCCCTCCTCCTCCTCCTCCTCCTCCCCCTCCTCCATCCCTCCTCCTCCTCCTCCTCCTCCTCCTCCTCATCCTCATCCTCCTCCCCCTCCTCCCCCTCCTCTTCCTCCTCCTCCTCCTGCGCCTCCTCCTGCTCCTCGTGTCTCGCTCCTCGCTCCTCCACCTCCCCCTCCTCCTCCTCCTCCTCCTGATATTCCTGAATTCAGTCGGGCAGGCTGGGGGGATTCCATTTCCAGCGTTGACCAACAACTCCTCGGGCGCGTTTTCGGCACGGTCTACGGGGCCCCCAACCAGACGGCCCAGGCGGCTGAATTCTCGGCGCGCGGGCGCATTGGGCATTTTTTTTTAAGGTGAGGCCACCCTGCACTCTGATTGCCAACATGTGTGTGTGTGTGCGTGCGTGTAAAGCTCGAAGACCCCTGGGCGAGCAGATGTCGTACCCGCGGCCGTACGCTGGTCCGCTTAGTTTTGCGTTTCCTGTGCGGCAGTGGATACAGTCAGTCCAGAAAGTAAAGGTGCACCTGTCTCTGGAGGGGGAAGGGGTGCCTGCCGAGGATAGGTTCCTGCGCCAAAGGAATATCCAGGCTGACCAGGCTGCCAAGGCTGGGTCGCGTCTCTATGATTCTGCAGACCAGGACCTCGTTGAGGCTTTGCATAAGTCGAGGTTGGTCGCGCGCATTGTGTGTAAGCTGGCTGCAGCGTTGCTTTTTGAATGGCCGAAGCTGGACCTCAGTGAGTGGAGCTCTGCCCCCCCAGTCCGACAGAAGTCAGGAGGGAGGACCAGCCGCCACCATGCATGGGGTTTCACTTGTGGGCGTTGGAGGTGTACGATATGCATGGAGACCGCTCGGTCGAATTTCCTCCCCCAGTCACGGGCTGTACGAGCCAGGTGGATGTATCAGATTATGGTGCGATGGAACGCCTTGGCCATGATGTGGTTGGCTTGCCGTGTTCTGACGGTGGGACTGTGCTTCGCACGTGGGTTCGGGCGCAGTCACGAAGCCGCACTTTCTGGGCACATGTTCCCACAATATGAGTCCGCAAAAGAGGTCTCTGCGGAACCGACTGCTGCGAGGCCATTACCCCAAGCACGGGACGTCCGTTACAGTGGACGCCGACGGGGTGTTGGACATTTTCATGCAGCAATCAACCTCCAGTCATGATTGGAGTTGTGGGTGTTGAAGAAATCCTCCTCCCTCTCCTCCTTCTCCTCCTCCTCCTCCTCCTCCTCCTCCTCCTCCTCGTCCTCCTCCTCCTCCACCTCCTCGTCCTCCTCCTCCTCCTCCTTCTCCTCCTGCTCCTCCTCCTCGTCCTCCTCCTCTTCCCAGCTGCTTGCCTCACCTCGCCCCCCCGTTCTTCCCGATCGTTCCCCCCTCGTTCGCCCGAGCGTCCCTTCCCTCCTCCTCCTCCTCCCTCCTCCTCGCTCTCTCCTCCTCCATCTCCCACTCCTCCTCCCTCCTCCTCCTCCCCTGTGGTCCTGCTCCTCCTCCTCCATTTCTCTCCTCTCACTCCCTCCTCCTTCCCGCCTCCTCAGCCTCCTCATTCTCACTCCTCCTCCTCCTCCTGACCCTCCTCCTCCTCCTCCTCCTCCTCCTCCTCCTCCCTCTCCTCCTCTCCTTCCTCCTCCTCCTCATCCTCCCCCATCCTCCCTCGTCCTCCTCCTCCTCCTCCTCCTCCTCCTCTCCTCGCCCTCCTCCTCCTCCTTTCCTCACTCCTCCTCCTCCCACCTCCTATCCTCCTCCTCCTCCTCCTCCTCCTCCTCACATCCTCCTCATCCTCCTCCTTCTTCCTCCGCCTCCTCCTCCTCCTGCCTACCTCCTCCTCCTCCTCCTCCTCCTCCATCCTCCTCCTCCTCCTCCTCCCCCTGGTCATGTCCCTCCTCCTCCTCCTCCTCCTCCTCCTCCCTCCTCCGCATTCCTCCTCCTCCTCCTCCTCCTCCTCCTCCCTCACCTCTCCCAGGCGCTTCGCCCCACATCCCCTCCCACGTTCTCCCCGATCGATTCCCTCTGCCGAACGATTCGCTCCCCTTCCCTGACCGTCCTCCTCCCAGGAGGGGAGCAGAGCAGGGAGGAGCTAGGAGGGAGGGAGCGGACGTTAGAGTGCCACCCTTCCCCGCTCGCCCCCCCAAAGCCCGCCCTTCCGGCCCTTTTGGGGAAGCGCTTCCCCGCACCGCGCCCTCACCCTCTCTTTCCACTCTCCCGCCCTTTCCCCCTCCTCTTTACCCACGTCCCCCCCTTCCCCCCCTCCCCCGCCCCACTCCTCCTCTTATACCCCTCCTCCCGCCCTTTACCTCCCTCCCCTGTCACCCTAACCCCGACCCCCTTCCTCCCTCCGTTCCATCCCCTCTTTCCCCTCCACCCTCCCCTGTCCCCTCCCCGCCCCCCTCCATCCCTCCTCTTCCCCCCGCCCTTCCGCCCGCCCTTCCCCCCTCTTCCGGGGAGCGCCTCACGCGCAGGCGCCCGGCGGCGCCCGGCCGCCGCCAGCGCAGGCCGCGGCGCCGGAGCGAGAGGCTCGCCGCACGCTCCCGCGGGAGCCGATCTGAGGAGGATCGACTACACGTAGGGAGGAGGAGGAGGAGGAGGAGGAGGAGGAGGAGGAGGAGGAGGAGGAGGAGCGAGCGAGCGAGCGAGCGAGCGAGCGAGCAGGAGCGAGGAGCGAGGAGCGAGGCGAGGAGCGAGGAGCGAGGAGGGGGAGGAGGACGGGGAGGAGGAGTTCGAGGAGGAGGACGAGGAGGAGGACGAGGAGGAGGACGAGGAGGAGGACGAGGAGGAGCGAGCGAGGAGCGAGCGAGGAGCGAGGAACGAACGAGGAGGGGGAGGAGGAGGGGGAGGAGGAGGAGGAGGAGGAGGAGGAGGAGGAGGAGGAGGAGGAGCAGGAGCAGGAGCAGCAGCAGCGAGGAGCGAGGAGCGAGGAGCGAGGAGCGAGCTGCGAAGAGTGAGGAGGAGGAGGAGAAGCGAGGAGCGAGGAGGACGGGGAGGAGCGGGACGAGGAGGAGGAGAAGGAGGAGGAGTTGGAAGAGGAGGATGAGTAGAGGATTCACTACACTCGAAGAGGAAACATCGCCAGAAGCAGAATCGCTTGGCGTTCAGCGCGCATGTCTTGGATCCGCGCTGGGGGCCCCTGGTGCGTTCCGCGCGCCAGGGAGGGGGATCCAGCGCAGGTGCAAGAAATCCGCGCGGAGCGCCAAACGTTTCAGTTTATGCAGTTGTCATTCTTCTATACACGTGCCCAGGCCTC